TGTCTGGCTAATTATCTGTGTGCCCTGTGAAAGCTTTTCAGATATTTTCTTGTCCTTAATTAGAACAAAAGCTAAACTCATCAACTTCCACAAATGAAAAATATGAAAACATTTTCCACTGAGATAACTTCAACATGATCCCTTCCTATTTCCACATTTTTAAATAAAATCTTTTTTCTTTCAACTCTCATTAGTCTAAGAAGTTTAAAGAAATACTGATTTGAGCTGAATGCTAAAAGTCTTTGAACATTTCTTGCCTGAGTTGGCACGATAAAAACTTTTCCTTAAAAACGTGCTGTGCTAAATGAATTGACTTCATCCCATAGAAGATTCAGCTTCAGCAAGTCCCTCTTTTAAAAGGAAAAAAAAATTCCTTCACCAAAAAAAATCAAGTTGAGCCAACATATTCCAGCTCCAAGATGAGCCCTGATCTTATCCCATGGGCTGGGATACATATCTTGATCTAGGGATTGTGGGGTGCCAGGTTAAGTTTTTTTGGCAATCATCTCATTGTGTCTCTGCCCCCCCATTACTCCCCATCTATAAAATAGTTGAAATAGACTTCCCTAGTGTCCTATCTGTTCGTCCTGTCTGCTCAGACTGGGAAACCCATCCTCAGCCATGGGGGGCTGCTGGGATGGACCCAGCCAATGCATTTCACTGCCATCACCGCAAGTGACCTCACATGGTGGATTTTGGAAAGACCCAGTGGGGGAAGCTGGAGGGACCACACCCAGACCACGATGAATCTATTGATCCAGCTCCACCACCAAGTAATACAGAATTAAAGGTTCCCCACTGTGCTCAGGGTCAGGAAAAAAAACAACACATGAAATGTAAAGGAAGAAAAGAAGAACTGCATGTCTGGCAAACATGTCCAAAGGCACCCACCCATCTGCACCTCCCCTCTGCTGCCCTGGTAAACACAGCTGCCTGCAAGAGCCCTCACACTGCTCAGCACTGAGCAGAAGCACATACATTCCCCTTGAAAACACAGCTGGAGTATTTACTGACTAATCACCATCCCTGCATGGGGCTGGAGATCCCCCCCTGCCCCACGTGGGCTGGTGGGACTCGCACCGTGTCCCAGGCAGTGGGGAAAAGCCATGGCAACATGTTCACCTCTGCAGGAATGGCAGCTCCTCAGGTACTCTATTCCCTGCCTTCTCATGGGACCAGCCATCCACAGACAACACAACTCAAGAAATAAAGAAAAACTGAGAACATTTTCCACTGCTGTGGTGACACAGCAACGTGGTTCCTCTGCAGAGCTGCTCCAGACCTGGTCACTGCCACCACTCCCTCGGGTGGCTACAAACAAGCTCTATCCTTATTTCTCCTCTGGGTTCCCCTACTGCTGTGGCACAGAGTAGTGAGGAGATTCCTGCTTCTTGCCTGAAACAGTGGCAAGCAGATTCTAAACCAGTGGAATTTTTTGTGCACTTTTTTTTTTCCTTTTGGAGAAGGGATAAACTTAGGAAAAATGCTATCAAAGTCCTTTTTTCCCCTGCAAACAAGGCCTGCTTTGATTGTGGACTTTATTAACTCCTTAACCCATTTGAATAGAGTACCAGGGGGTGATGCTGCTGTGGCAGCAGCCAGGGACTGTGACTCTCTAGGGGCAAATTATGACCCAGAGCAAAAAACTGGCTCCCAGCAGCAGTGAAGCCTCTGGTGTCATTTATGCAGAGCCAATTTTCAGATTAAAATGGCAATTTCATTTCTTTTATCTCTCCACTTCCTTCGTATCAATATCCTTTTGTCCTAGAACCCACTTACCTGCTTCATTTTAAAATAGATGTAGATACCGTCCCTCTTTTATGGAAGATTTATGAGTTCTGTAGGTTTGCTTTTACAAATATTAATATTATATAAGCTGATAGGCTTATTCAACTGCCACAGGCAAAAAAAAAAAAAAGGACTCACTCAGCAAGTTTTCTTCCTGATTATTTCTTTTTAAGGGTTATAGGTTGGTGTTTACAGGAAGACAAACTAATACAGGATAACAAGGAGAGGATAAACAGGATAAACAGCCAAACAGAAAATAAGGATAAGCAGAAAAACTACCCAAGCTGGTTCCAAACTTCTCCCTGCTCTTGTGTTATTATAATGACGATGTTTCTAAAGCTTATTCCTCCAAAAAATGATGGGTTTATTAATTTTTTTTCCTTTTTCTTGGTACAGGGAAAAGAGCAGCCTTAATCCTGCAGAGGTTGTAGCACTCCCTGTGCTGTCATTTTACACAACACAGCAACAAGCAGAGAATCACCCAGCTCCTCTGCAGCCTCCCAGACCAGCTCCATCCCCATCTCATCAGCACTGGAGCAGGAAACTGGGTTTAAACTCACACTCCTGAGGACTAGGGTGCAAGCAGCACCCACAGGGCTCTGCTGAAAAGCTCTGAACTGTCACCCATGGGCCCCCCTGCCCAATCTATGACTCCAGATGCCTCTTTGCAGCAAAGAGGTGACATGCAACACAACTCCAGAGGCTCTTTGGATGTGCAATGTGCACCAAGAGGATGCTGGAATATCCCAACTTCCAAATTTTCAGGGCAGTCCAAGGCTTGAGCAGAAGCAGGTTTTTGTACTCAAAAGATCCCTTTCATTAATATTCCTTGAAAAACTCTACCAAACTGCACCTTTTCTCTTTAATCAAGGGACAAGTTGCTTTTATGAATTTAAAAAGGCTCCTGTCACAGCTGAGGGGCTCAGCCCTTACCCTGACCTGAATCTGGCCTTTGCCTTTCTGCCAGGGGCAGCCTCAGTGAAGCCCCTTCCCACTGTCCCCAGTGGCCTCAACTGCTGCAGGAGCACAAACCCCCCAGTGCTCATCTCCACCTCTTGTCTCCTGCCATCCACACCAGACAAACACAGAGAAATGGGCTTTGTTTTCACAGGGCCACCCAGGGGTGAGAGGAATTTGAAAGCTCCCTTTCCTGCTGGGAATCCCTTTATACCCTGGGTGCAGTCACGCTCTGCACAACCAGGGGAAGAAAATTCAAACACACTATTCAACAAAATTAATGACCCAGATTACTAAAATAAAGCTACAACTCAAACATCCAGAACTAATTTCCAAATGACACTTCACTTTATCTCTGCAGATACCATTGAATAGGGTGGAAGCTTTTAGAATTAAAATAAACATTAAGAAAAAAAACCCCCATCACCACCACCACAAACTAGCTTAAAAGGAAATTGCTTTTGGCTGCTTGAGTTTTTCTCCCAAGTTTTGGAAGGTACAGTATTCATATTTTTATAGTCATTTTCCTGAGATCAAAGGACCCCAGGAACAACTCCCATTAATTAGAGCAACACATATGGTGCTGCAATACTCCAAGGAACTCACTCCTG